TCTTAGATTTACATATTAATTACGACAATTTTATAGATTTAGTGACGTAACTTCGTTTGAAAAAGTTTAGTATCTCATTGTTCGGTATAACCTTATGGTATAACCCAAAGTACTAATACTTAAAGTATAAAATTTCCCCATCAAATACCCAAATGGATAAAAATTAAGGAACTGTACATCATATAGGTACCTATGATTCATAACATTATTACAAATTTCGCATGAACTAAAGTTTTGATACTTTGCAAATGAGTACATTGACTCTTCCTTAATCATAAATTATTATATTATTTAACATACCTATTAATTAAGTAGTGTGTATAAATTTATACTATAAAGATTTATTTTATATTATTTTTTATGCAGGTACTAGGTAGGTACCTGGTACACGCTTGTATGTCGTAGACGTGATAAGCTTAAGTATTACAAGGTAAAAATCGTTATATCGAAGCATAGTTTGATAACATTTATTATTTAAAAAAACTTCATTTTTTAAAGAAGTTATGTCTAAATAGAAGGGTATCTATCACTGCATAACGTAAGACATTTTTTTATTCATAGTGAGGCGTTTATTTATACCTTAGTGTCGGTAATATATCTACTGACATGGTAAACATTGTTGTCGTTTTCCAGCTCTTGTATTCAATCAATTTCCGTGTATTGTAACCCAGATGTATGACATCAACGTGTTGAGAATATTAGCAGAAATATTTTAAAACTGGTATCGCTAAATTTATATGCAAAGTGCCAATTCTAAATACCCACAACTAGTAAAGTGTTAATAGAGTCACATCGAAATGGTATATATAATATTTTACTAATCAAGACCTGCTTTGTATGCGTTTAGCTTTAGAAAGAAATAAAAGATATACGCACCTACTATTAGTTATCCTCACAGAAATCTTCATATTAATCTGTGGTTATCCTAATATTGACATAGAGTAACAGATGGACGTACGTTGACTTTTAGGCTTTAGCTTTTTATTATCCCCATAGTCCATACAAAAAGTGTTTTCCACATTAGTACCTATATTACAAGAAAATACTAAATTATTTTTAGAAATTACTGTCATATATTAAACCGAGACACCGAGTGAAGTGCAGGCGATTAGCTAGTACCCATTTTCAATTCTTTTTTTAATGTTGGAAAATGCATATACGCATATCACCTGTAGAGATACAAGTGGTTATGTAGGACTCACCGGCTAGAAAAGTCAGTACTACCCACTAAAACCCAACAAAACCTCTTTCATTTTAATGGGGTATCAACCATGACGGCAGGTTTGCCAAAGCAGACCACAACAGTCATGGAGTTGCTCCAACGGTCCACTCTACTATCAGAAAAGTATCAGGACCAACCCGCATAGCACACCGTCCGCCGAGGTGTGCCGCATCCCAGTGCGTTTCTGGTTTCGCGCTCGGCTGGATTGCTGGACGCTAATAACAATGTGCACGTTGAGGGGGACCTCCATTTTCAAGTCTATGATGTCTTCACTTATTACAAAAACATTTCTATCCACAACTGAATATACATTTTTTTTTATTTCTGGCATGTAAAATCACCTTAAAGGTGAACCCAACAATAATCACACAATCACATTAATTTAAATCAAAATCATGATTCTGAGAATATACGTAATTCAGTTAAATTTCCTAGAATATATCATTACAGCGCGGCGTTAATACTTTGCCTACAATCATTTTGGTAAACGTAAATTAAGGTTAATTAATTGATCGAGCTTCAAAAAAGAATGCCTTGGCGAATTTTATTAAATTACATATTTTTATTAAACAGATAACAGTCCAAAGTAATTAATTACTTTTAACTAGAAATGTTTTTATTCTAATATTCAAAATGACCTAAAAGTGATTTTTTTTTCAAGTTTAGTTATATGAAAATACTCTTGAGATATAATTTCTTCAATAAAAAAAGAATCGAAACATGAGCTGTGGATTAAATTAAATCTAGATTTAATTAAAGCCAATTTGCGATATTCATAAGAATTTATTTATTTATTTATTTATTTATGTTTAGTGGTCCACAAAACAAATGACAATCACATACATATAAAATAAGAATAGCTTGCAAAATTAATGCACAAGATTGCATTTTTCTAGATGCAGACACATCATGCATATACAACAAAACTTAATATTACAAAAAACAAGATTTAAACTACGGTAACAATGAGGAACGGCTTTTATCTACTAACAATAAAGAAAAATCTTAAAAAAATATATATGAATTACAGCTATTAAACTAAACAATTTGCTTTAATTTTTTACGTAAATAGGCTATAGAGGTATTATTAAAAATATCTAATTTAAAACGAATAGTATCATACGCTGAACACATGCGGAATAAGGGCGAGTGGCTTATTACATTAGTTCTCGCGTTGGGAAGACAAAATGTCTTACGATTTTGTAGACGACTACTAGGACGTGGTATACAAAAGTTCAGTCGTTGTAAAAGATCAGGTGAGTCAATATACCCATGAATTAGCTTGTACAAAAAAATTATATCAAGTATTTTCCTACGTGTAGATAGAGAAATAACTTTGTAATGACTTAGTCTTTGTATATAAGAATTTAATTCATGACATTTGTTGTCTGTGTAGGATACGTGATATAAAAATCTTTTTTGGACACATTCTAATCTATTTACGTGAATTTGATAGGATGGGCTCCATGCTGTACTACAGTATTCCAATAAATTTCGAACTAATGTATTAAATATAAGAATAGTGATATTTGGTTGCTTAAATAACTTTAGTTGTCTATTAATAAAACCTGATAATTTTGAAGCTTTTTTTATTATGTTATCAAAATGTTGCCTGAAACTAAGAGAACTATCGAATATAACACCCAGGTCTCGGATACTTTTGACTTCTTGGATAGGTAAATTATTAATATGATATGTAACTGGTTCAGAATTAATTTTTCGCGAAAATTTTAAAAAGAAACACTTCGTGGAATTGAGATACATTTGATTAAAATTACACCAATTGACAATAAAGTTTACATCTGTTTGTAAAATTTCCTTATCAGAATCATCATTCATAACACGATAAACTTTCAAGTCGTCGGCAAAAAATTTAAAATTTGATTTAATATTATTGCATAAATCATTAATAAATATTAAAAATAGCAATGGGCCAAGATGTGACCCTTGGGGAACTCCAGAAGTTACTTCGCACTCTTCTGATTTAAAACCACGAATATATACTAACTGCGAGCGGTTCTTTAAGTAAGACTCAATCCATCTTAACAAACTACCGTGGATACCCATATTCTCAATTTTCTTTAACAATAATTTATGATTCACTAGATCAAATGCTTTTTTGAAATCAGTATATATAGAATGGACTTCTTTCTTTTTATCTAAACCTTCTGCAATATCAGATACATAAGAAACTAAATTAGACGCTGTTGACTTACCGGGTAAAAAGCCATGTTGGTTACAATTTATGTACCGACGTACATGATTCATTATATGTTTATTAACTATTGATTCCAATATTTTTCCACAATTTGATAATAACGAAATAGGACGGTATGCACTCACATCACTCACATCTCCACCCTTATGAATAGGTGATAGATAAGCCTTTTTCCATTCAGAAGGAAATATCCCAGTTTCCAATGACTTATTATAAATTTTACATAATGGCTTATATAAATTATTTGCACATTTTTTTAGAAATGATGAAGGTAAACTATCAGGACCAGGAGATTTATTTATATTTATTGATTGGAGATGTTTTAAAACATCATTTTCATGTACAACTAATTTGCCAAGTGATAAATAATAATGTTGTATAGTATTGAACGTTTGTGTCGGCATAGAATTAGCTTGGTTTAAACTATATATACTTTGGAAATGTTTAGAAAAAAGATTGCATATTTCTTGCCCTCCTATTGCTTTTTCGTTACAGAGCATCATTTCATTAGGGATTGAAGCACAATTACTCTTTCGTTCCTTAAAAAATTTCCAAAAATAGTGTGGATTCCGTCGCAATTGGTTAGGAGCGTTACTTATAAAATTAGAATAACATTCTTTTAATAATAAATCACATCGTTCTTGTAAGATTACATAACTTAAATTGTCCATTTCATTTCCGTAAACTTTATATTTTTTATGATATTTCGCTTTTTCTTTAAGAGCTTTAATAAGTGATAACGAAAACCAAGTAGGAAAGCTCTCATTCATTGGTTTTCTAAGAGGAGTAAACTTATCTATAATTGGTGTTAGAGTTAAATAAAATATTTTAATCATTTCATCGATATGTATACATCCGTCCCAAAGAGCAGACCAATCGATTAATTCTAGAGCTGAATTTACAGATTCATAATCACACTTTGCAAAGTTATATGATAGTATTTTATTATATTTTAGAGTATTATATGATGACGTTTGATAACAAATTTCTAAAGGAGGGTGATGAATTTCTGGAGGTATTATAGGAGTTGAAACTTCGTTTATAGTTATACAAGAAGGATCCGTGGAAAAAACTAAATCAAGAATTTTACCATTTCCATTTAAAACGTGATTGCATTGATAAAGATTATTAAAGGATATATTGTCCAAAAAATTATTTACTATGCAGCTATCCGACATTAAAGGGGATAGAAAACATCGGCTTATATTATACTCCCACAATAGATCACTTAAATTAAAATCACCAATTAAGATTGTAGATGATTTTTTATTTACATTTACTAATACACGCGAAAGATTTCGATTAAATGTGTTAACATAGCATCCATCTAATGGAGGTGGCAAATAAGCTACACATATATTAATAATATTATTTTTACCTAACCTCAAGCTAATCCATAGGTCTTCACATGAACACTCCCAATCGAGTTTTCGAATAATTTCAAACTTTTTTAAAACAGCAATCATAACACCACCCCCATCTTTTTTGTGAGAAGAAGATATGGAAGAAGACCTATCTCGTCTGAATACATTATATCTTTGATCAATGACTTCATGATCAAATACCGTATCGTTTAGCCACGTTTCTGTTAAAATTATCAAATCATAATTATTAGCTAATACAGTGACATAAAAATTATCCACCTTTGTGCGTAAGCCTCTCACGTTTTGATAATATATATTTAAATTGAATTTAAAACTATATATTCTCCATTACATACATTAAATAATTAATATAACTACAATAATAAAAATAACTACAATTACAATGTTTCTAAAAAGTTCTTGTCCTTAATCAATTTAGCCTCTGACTTACTATTCTTTCGCACAAAGATTTTACCCTCTCGTATCCATATAAATTCATATTTTTTTTCCTTTGCGATTATTCTAGTAGCTGCATGCAATTGCTTATTTGCAGGGGATAAATGTTCCATTGCATAGATCGGCTGACTAGTTGTAAATCCAAGATGTGAGGAATTAAGCTTTGAATCTTTGTTCTTAAAGTTATATAATTTAATAGCCGCTAGAAAATTATCACGAACTCTAGGGCTAAACATTTTTACAACAATACTGCGAGGTCTTTTGCTATCCGAATTAAATTTAGCAACCCTGTGACAACTTAACACATCTTTGTCGCATAACTTGTACGACACAGTACTGGCTAGTTGTTGAATGATGGTCAATAAATTTTCATTTTTATGCTCAGGTACGCATTGGAGTTCAATATTGGATTCTCGTGACCTTTGCTCTATTTCAGCGAGATGACAAGATATATCATTTAATTGAGTTTTTAAAGAATTATTTTCAGCTGCAAGTTTAGAGATTATCTTAGTGTTTTCGGCATTAATTTTTATTTGATCATCATGCACTTCTGATAGAAAATTTACAGACTTAGTAACTTCATCCAATTCCTTCCGAATTTCGGAGAATTTTGAGCCAAGCTCCTTGATATCTTTCTGCAGGCAAAGTAGAGACGAGTCGAATTTATTCAAGCATAAATGTTGTTCAGCAAATTTTTTATTTATTTCACTTCTTAAACTACGTATTTCATCAAGAACCATTTCTTGGAAAGAATTTGTAATCGATATAGAAGCGTTCGGGGATGTATTGGCAGGAACTGGGGAATTCTTTTTCGTAAGCCCATTGCTATCATCCTCTCCCTTAGAGGAATGCTTACTGCACGTAGGACATGTCCACTTAGCACGTGATATAGAGGTCTCATTAAATTTTACGCATTCCTGATGATATTGATTGGAACAATTTGCAGATGAGCATCTAATACGTTTCTGTTTAACCAGAATACTTACAGTACACGATGAACAAATAACCATTTTGATGAATATTTTCAAGACAAAAAATGACGAAAAATGATTTTCTTACTCAAAGCACATCAATTTATTTAAATATTTTATATATTTTATTTTATCAATTATATATTTGTCAGAAAATAACAACCGTTACCATGACAAAATCAATTTATGAAAAAAGAATAATGAAAAAAGTGAATTTAGTAAACGCAATTTCCCGTGAGAACCAGATAGTCTCCCGCGATAAAAAACTATCTCTACACAAAAAATCACGCCAATCTGTTGCTCAGTTTCGACGTGAAAGAAGGACAGACAGACAAACAAACAAACACACTTTCACGTTTATAATATTAGTATGGATTTACACTTATATCACCTATGTAGTATGTACCTACCTGTGTCTGCTGTGGGTATTTTTTTTAAATTCGTTATATAATTTAATATGTACATCAATAATAATCTACTTAAATATGTTTAAACTCTACTTTCCGTTATCATCTCAATAAATATTATATACTTGAAATTCTGCATGGTAATGAAAAGGGTATCATACATAGCAACCCGAATGAGAAATACAGGCCATTTAGATAATATGCGCGTGCCGTAACTAAAGTTCAAATTTCATTTTAAGGTCAGCCATATGGCTCTTGGTCATGGTATATCTGCATTTTTATTCTATGGTTGCCGCCACGTATTTTGTGACCGATCACTCCTCAGACGCGTGCCATCTTTATAGTGTTTCACAGTAATTATTCATGTTATGATGTACGGTTTCAGTCAGAATTTTGTTTCGAAATAATGAGGCTCGTTTGCTTTAGATTAATTGGAAAATATTACTCAAATGTTAAATGACTAAAATGTTAAATGAATGAATATTAAATCCTTTGTTGTATTGGAAACTAACATTATAGTTTTTAATTACATGTCCATTATCTTTCACATTAAATTGCTATTGAGAAACGGGGAGTTTTTGGTATCTCCTCCTATCAATAGCCTTCCATATGTCGATACTCACGATAACGATTACCTAATTAAAAGATTTATATAAAAGTTGCTTACAGTTATAAATAAGACTTTCATACTAGTTCTAGGAATAATAATCGACTCTTGAGTGAAGCGCATGTCTCGTCGATTATATTATCTTTACGAGAAATCTTTCAATAACGTCATTGCAACATAGGCAGAAACTTTCCACCTGTAATGAATTTGTTCATATTTTTATTGTGTTATTACATAATCACAAAATACACAACAACAACACAAAATACAGTTCAGTATACAATACAGCATTAACTGCATCGACGGTCACAATATTTAATATCTACATAGATATTAAAGAGAACGAACACATCGATCACATAGTACCTATACGAAATCGATGAAATTTAGTTTCACTTGATAGTATCTAATTAAACGAAAATTGTGAAACCGGTAAATAAACCTACAAAACATAATACAAATTATTTATATTAACTGTGAATCATACTAACATGATAAATGCGAAAGTTGTAAATGAGTGTGTTGGTTACGTCTTTACGATGTAACACTTAACAGATCTGAGTGTATCGAATGGATACGGCTTATATCCTAAATATATAGAGATAGTATTACATTTAATATTTTTAATCAATGCGCTATACAAATTAAAACTATTACAGAAATTTAGATATACCTACACTATTTCTTAATCCGAAAATTTGCGAAACATGGTGATAATAATACAAGTATCTTTAATTTATGATCTAAAGTTCCTTGACCTGTGTATTGTTCTTTAACGTCCCAGTGCTGGGGGTGGGCCTCTCTTCATACAAGGGGGCACAGGCCATAGTCCACCACGCTGGCCAAGTGCAGGTTGGCGGACTTTACATGTCATTCGAAAATTTGCTAGGTTCTCTCAGACATGCACATTTTCTCACGATGTTTCTCTTCACCATAAGGCAAGTGGTAATCATGTTAGAAATGATTCACATGAAAATATCAGAGGTGCGAGACCCGCGATTTGAACCCGCATTACTCAATTTCCTAAGCGAGCGCGTTACCATTGGGCTACTACTGCGTTGACCTGTATGAAAATCAAAGTCATATCATTTATGAATACTTTTTGCGCAATATATTTTACCACCTTGTCAAGATAGCGGTTATCATTTAATATAGGAAAAATTAGACACAGACATGTCTGGATAGTAAATTTGATAATATTGTAATATAAGTCATTACGTAATTCAGGCGCCTGATTTCGGAGCACATCGACTGTGAATATTATCAATAGGTATTATATGTAAAAAAAAACAAAAAGACAATTCTGCACATTTTTTTTAAATTACTTCTATTAAATAAAACAATCTATAGCCTAAAAAATGTGTTTATCTATAGCACTTTATTACACACGAAAATGATACATTAAAAAAATACAGATCAAAGAAATGTGCAAAGGCGGCCTTATCACTAAAAGCCTAAAAGCAATCTCTTACAGACAACCGATAGAAAAGGATACAAGAAATTTTAGTGTTTTCATTTTTGTAAATAACATCAAAAATACCACGTTAGCATAATAATTATGCAATAAAAAGAAAACCTATAAAGAAGAATGTCACCTGTTATATTTTACCGTCCATTTTATCGTCAACATTCTAAACTGGTATACGACTTTAGTACCTATCTATATAGAAGTCTTTATTCGCATCCACTTTCTAATTTCTAATCTGTCAATTACGACAGGTATTAATTAATATTTTTATTCTATCTGTTGCATGCGTGGAAATAGAAAACATTATGACTCTACCTAAATTTAAACTATGTACCTAATCTTATTGCGTCTTCTTCTTCTTCTTCGTGTACTTCATTGCTGAAGGTCGTGCTTGTCCTGGAATGTTTCCACCGATTTGTTGACTTTCTTCCTCCACACCACTCTATCCTCGGCTTGTCTCAGGGCAGTCGGAATATTGAATCCCGTTATATTTGAAATCTGGTCGAACCAGCGGGTAGGTGCTCGACCGCGCGATCTTTTGCAATCAATCTTCCCTACTACAACCAGTTTATCCAGATTGTCTGGTTGTTTTCGGGCGATGTGACCAAAATAACTTAGGACTCGTTGGTAGCATATAGTGGATAGCCTTGTATTGCGTAACAATAGGAAAATTCAACAAATTAGTGGAAAAACATTTTCACTGATTAATATTTTAAAAGCTTTTAGAACTTTTAAGAAGAATTAGTGCTTGAAAGCTTTCTACGAATTAAAGTTTTGACCTCTTAGAACTACTTCTTACAAGAATATTGCATAAGTGGTGATTCGCATTTACGTCCATTTTTATTAAATAAAACATAAAAGGAGATATTTTATGTAACAAAACAATCTTATTGAATGTTAAGCAATAGAACTCATTTTACTCATTGAAAGTTAGGTTCGTTGTTCTTATATTGAAATTGTAAGTACCTATATTCGCTATAATATAGGTGTATAATATAAAAAATATTAATTTTTATAGCAACTGCGACATCAAATTTGCTTAATTTTATTTGTATTATTCAATATACTTAACATCCAACAACTTTCAATGCAGTTGAGAAATTCAATTCGTAACCGGATTTTCATACGGGTTGCACCAATGGATAGAGTGATTCATATAGAAGGTTTAAGAGTATATTAAGGCTTGCACCGCATAAACCAATAGAGTTATGTACGTATTATATGAATACAATGTATAACAGAATTATTCCCCTTAAAAAGATCTATTAAACTGTAGAAATGCTATATGTACGTATCTATGAACGTAAGCGAGGGTATATCACTAATCTATACATATAATAAAATTCTAACATAGCCGAATCTGTACATTAAATATTTTTTTAGAAAATCTTATTGAAATAGACATTATTATCGATACAGAGGCCGAATCTATAGTTTTTAGATTTTTGTCTGTCTGTCTCTCTGTCTGTCAGTTACCGCATCACGGAAAAACCACCGGAGGGATTTTGATGAAATTTGCTTTTTACTTTTTACCGCGGGAAATTATCTCATTTTTGAGAAAAAATACAAAAACTGCAATGTAAGAGTATACTTATATGTAAAACCTAAGAATTTGGTTTTTGGTCATCTGAACGCGGGCGGAGTCGCGGGCAATGCTAGTAAGGTATATAACACAAAAATAATTTTAAATTGTCATATTTAAAGGATGGAAATGGATGGATAGGATTACACCATTACATACTCGTACACTGTTAATAGCTAGCTACACAATACACATGGCTAATTAAACAACTTTTTTACATATTATTTTGTAAACTTAGCGCCTTTTATATTACTAATAATGAATCTTTTAATAAATAACCGGCCTGGTACTTATTACTGCAAAGATTATATTTTCAAGCTTTTAAACGTACCTAACGTTTAAACAGCATAGGTGTGCTATTTCGCAAAAATTTAATACGATTTTTCAAGTCTTTCACTAAGAAAAAATACATTTACCTCCACAGTAAATCAATATGAGGTAAAATTGCTCGGAGATACGGTAATAGATGTCAAAAAAATGTATCTACTACTTCATTTCGCGTTATTATCTAGCTGTGGTACTATTTCTTTGAAAATTTATAGGAATTCTTATTCTAGTCGTAATGTTTAATTTCATTGCTCCTTGAGCACATTACATGTATTTCGTTTGCTATACACTCATCTCTATGACGGTCATGTTAATATTGTCATATAAACTTTATGCGGCTTGTAATAAAGGCTACAGTATTTCACTTGTATGTGGGCCACAGAATGATTAAGTGACGTAGCTCTACCTTGGCATCTTTGATTGAGTAACTGTAGAAACGTAACTGCGTTGGTATTTTCTAAGAAAATTTATGGAACTGAGATACAACGCTTTGTATTTACATAATAATTATATAAGTACATTGTAGTAATTATTATTATTTTTATTAAATTATTTTAGCTAGAAATAGAGAAGGTACATACATAGGTACATATATATTAAGTAAATAATATTTTTCTTTGAGAACATGATATCAAATTTTAAGGAAAT